AACTCTAAGCCACTCCTCAAGAACCAACCACAATAAGCATATACGGCTGCTAGAAATACCCAACAAAATTAATAACAACTATGTTTTTTCATCGTAAATAGCATGCTGAATTAATGTAGCATCTTGTGCGGTGAAGTGTGAAGCGTACAAACTTTTGATGGTAAAATTAATATTTTTTTCTAAAATACAAAATGTTCTCCCAGTACAATAGTATATTTTTGTGTAAGGTTTGTGTGCGCTCGAATGTGCTTTAGGACCGTATTGTTTAAACTCTTTTAACACGTCATCCAGTAGTGAAAGGTTTCCTTGAAAAGTGTTTGTCACTTTTGGCCACTATTGTAACCCTTTTGTGTAGTACGATCTCTCCTTCTTGTAGAGACAGTCTGCAGTATATTGAAATAACCATAAAATAACAAAAACAGCAATGTCCCACGTTTTTGTGTCACGAAAGCAAGCCATGAGTGATTTCCTCCTAGCATTCACATAAACATTCCCGACTACAGCTTAACCTTGCATAACACATATTCATATAGCGAGCTATTAGTTAGAGAGGAGAAATACGAACTTTTTTCTACACCTCATTTCCAAAATATTTATTACTCTTGCAAAAACAACTAAAATTGCAGTGCCACTACAATATCAGCTATAACAAGAAATACTTGGCTTGCATGAGGCTTAACACTTAAAAGGTAACGTAAAATTAAGTACTGAAAGACAACTCATAACAATATTTTCGTGTTCATATTTTTAAATATAGTTCCAAAATTTTAAACTTTCATGAAAATCTGGTTGCACACTGCTTGAAATTTAAGTGAATGCACGCCTTTTTTGTCAAGCGAGCTTTGTTCGATTCGGCCCTCCACGTCTCCGTGTTCGGTCTATTTAGTTTGAAACGCGCCAAAGCGAAGGTTGTTGACGTAGGTTTGAATAGCTAAATAATTCGTTTTTCGATGTAGAACTTCGCGCGAGCCAGACTGCAAATTTATTATATAATTTTCTAACCTCTCAAGCTCCAACATATATTCGATAATTATCACGATCATTATAATCATCAATATTAGCCTGTTGTTTAGGACAAAGTCACCTTCCGATGATCTCCAGGTTATGGTATTCCGTGGAAGTGGATTCTTTTTTCATTCCTTCAAGATTCTTGATTTACCCAAGGCATTATTATGCGTTTGTCTTCTCTTCGTAACCATTCTGTGTCTCTTTCTCTCCTACCGTTGTCTGTACTACGCAATACGTAACAATCCTAGGACTGTTTCTTTCAATTTATGTCAAGTGACATATCTGCTACACTCCGGGTTGTTTCCTTATTCATTCTGCTGTCCTCTGATCTCTAACAGTTACTGCCTTCTTTTCTTGTTTCATATATTCTACGTGGTCCACAGCCTCTCTGGTCACTTTATGATGCTCTTTGTTTCAGCTTTATATCCTCTTTCGGTATTCAACGATTTGGTACTATTCATTTTATTAAAGTTGTCGATTTCTTGGCATTGCTTGGGAGTGTATCCTGATAGAGCTACAACCAATCGCAGCCTTCATTGAAATTTCTTTTCGCGACTAGCCAATCTTGTTAGTATTTACCTTAGGTATACATATTCTTGTAAACTCCTAAAGTAAAAGTGTCCGTGCAGCCACGTTCGATTGTACTTCCGTTCAAAGCGCGTGTCAGGAAAAAAAAACCATTTCATTCAATTTTCAAATAATTCATAATAGGCACACTCCAGCCTACCGGAAAGAGGACGTTAATACATTTGCCCCTGCAAATCAAATGTTTTCCACTCTTCAAACATAGCGAACAGGGGACGCCTCAATTTTACACTGCCATGCCCTATATATATATCGAAATAACAGATCCAGTTTGTGCCCCTCTATTTGGAAGCGATAGATAAGGGGATACGTGAGCGCCCTCCTGAGCCCCATGAATCTACTTTGGTGCTGTTAGCTTCTTAGCCCGCGTGATCTAGGATGTGCCTACCAATCTTCTCCTACCCCAAAATCCTCCTCAATGTCTTCCTTCCTTCTTTTTTCTAATACAATAAATATTTGGCTGTCTAGCACATTTTGACAAATTTTATGTACAAGAACCGCTGAACGTCTGTGAAGGTACTAACGCCATCACAATTACAAGCAAGTAGGCCTCCCCACGATCTCACCAAAATTTCACTTCGTCAAGGTGTGAAGCCTTCAATCAAGGCAAAGGAGAAAGGATGTACACTCGAATTACTTACTTTACCGCGTCACGGAAGACGTCTCTCATGTTTTTTTTATAAGTACCACCGAAATCATAGGAGCCAATAGCGAGGACAATCTTCGATGTCTCCTCGCGCTGTATCTCTTTCATTTTCTGGAACACCATAAAATGTAGAATTTATTAATTGTTATACATCCCCAAACCACGATGTGAGACACGCCATAGTGCAATGCTCAGTGAATTTCGACCACCTATGGACCTCTAACGCGCACCTAAATCTAAGCACACGTCTGGTAGCATGTTGAATCCTTCGAACAGCCGTCGGCGTGACATACAGTTTTGCGTTCGAGCAGTGTTCCCCAACGAAAACCACGGCAGATGCAAAATGATGGTAAGTAGGCCAGTATTTTCTTAGTTAACGGTGCCCATTTAAACATATAATTTTGGGCCTTTAGAAAGTATAAGAAGATTTATAAAAAATTGCGCAGAGACCTCTGCGCTGTTATACAAGGGGCCATCGTAGTGCAATAAATTACATGCCATCATTCCTTTGTACGTTCCTCGGAAATTTTTTATTTGGCTGGTAATACCCCTTTATGCCAGCATTCTTTCACAGGTAAAGCAAATTGTACCAGTCTCATCGCAGCCCTGACGAAAGTTTTTTTTTCTTTTTGAGAGAGTAGTTTAACATTGTTGGCCCAGTAGTCATACAAAAAATTTTAAAAGCAACAACGACAATTCTAACTTTATCATCACGGGCTGCTCGTAGGGCTTAATATAGGTTTTTTCGATGTTGAAATCCACTTGCATAAGCTAATACGAGACCTCCTCCCCGCGGTGCCAATAAGTGATTTTAGGTGGCTTTAGGGTCTCCTGTGAGTGCATGCCAGTTTAGAGGCCCGCATTGTTCATTTATGAATCTCATCTCGCATGGCCAGGCCACCAGTAAAGCGCTCAAAAATAAATAATATTGAGGCTATCATTGCTCGAAACCAGGCAAAAATGAACAAGAAAAGTATAACGTATACAACATATCTGACCCAGAAGTAGTTGCAATATTTTACTCAAGGTTCTTAAAAAAACATTCCGTAAACATGCGGGAGACTCCGGCACACCTCATGAGAGGTTACCACGACCAGTCTCAACAGATTTTTTCTCTCACCGGGTTTTTACGACAGTGCACTTGAAAAGGCAAACAATCTCACGAAAATCCCTCCACACGACACGTATCTCAGTTGCTGTAATGAGCAGAAAGTTGGTATTAAAGTTCAGCAAAAAAGAAATGTAGCTGACATGTTCTGCACTGCACTTGTGAATCTCGCCAACAAGGTTCTACTCACGCTGGACAAAAGCAATAGGCTTGCGTGAGATCTTTTCGTCGACAGTTTACACGAAAGTGCATTGACTTTGCCAACTTTGCTTCCTGCCCTTGCTACGCTATTCCTTATGTCGCATGGCAGTGGAGCTGCATTTTTTCGTGTGTAGGAAGAATAAGCGGCGACGATGATTTGATATTTAGTGACGCCCAGCGCAAATAGTTGCTCAGTGGACGTTACATTTTTTACCTTTATTACCCACAAATTATGACACGCACTTCGTCGCCGCCGTCCTGTACAAACAGTCTAACATAACAACATATACCGCATTTTACATTAAGTGACATGGCCCGCGTTCGTAATACCGAAGGAGCGCTGCGTCACTGATGTCGACGGGTAGAAATAGTATACGCGATAGCAGCACCAATTATATGGGAACTCGTGGTTCACTTAGCAGTGGCCATAATGTGCTTTAGGAAATCCTAATTAAATCACCCCGCGCGCCCTAGAATTCACGTGGGAGAGAACGCTTGCAAAGGTTGCAGGGTTCTGTAGCTCAAGCAAACATAAAATGCACCAGCCGGCTCCGAGAGCAAAGAGCGAGTAAGGGGTGCCAGTGGAGAAGGAGCTGCGTTGCTCAGGCGACAATTGCAAATTTCGATCAAAATAGTGCCGTCGGGTGCATTTCTTCCACGAACTTCAGTGAACGTCTCGCACCATCGCCCGTTCTGTGCTCTCGCCGCACGCTTCGCGTAGAGGCGACAGAACACCCGAAATTCAGCTCACTCTACTATGTTTATTACGGATGGCATTTTAATAGACCTTACTCTATTTAACGCACACATTTCTGTCTGCCGCTCGCACTGCTTAACACTTGCGGAGAAGCTGTGACTTATTTTTTCTGATGTCTTGAAAAACGGAACACAATGAGCAGTACAACTACTGTACGTAACAATTCAAAAGTTTTGTGCACTCAAGTGCCGCAAACACGCACCTCAAGTACGTCCTTCGTGCTCCAAACGGTTTCCCGGAAGTTCGTTTGAAACGAAAGCACAGTGAGGAGTCCATAGTGCCGCATGCCTTCCCTACGTAGTGCATCGAGGTCGCTGGAGGCATCGTCCAAACCATTTGGAGTTACATTTCTGCATTAAAAGTTCAAATTTTATTGCGGTGATTATACAAGCCACCTCAACATAGCGGGTTTTTTACATCAAGATAAATGCTTGATTACTTGGTAATCATGAATCGGCTCATCTACAGGATATGTATTATCACTAAAGAGCACTGCAGAAATTATGTAAGAGCAATAGAGTCACCTTAACAAACATCGATTACTGTGTGTGTCCCTCTATAAAGAACGATAACTGCCTTTGACAAAAACACAAAGAGGTAATTTCCTGTTTCCAAGTGTTATCCTCTTCTTTACCAGAAAGGTGTCTCTTGTAACAGCATAAATACATATAAGTGGTACCTACAACGTATCTCACTTACTGAAAATCGAACGAAATTCCCAGCTGCACACGCCTGTACTTTGGGCCCCTCCTCTGGAAGACATTCCAACTGACGGGGTCCTTTTCCGCTTGAATGTGGCCGTTTGATGTGATCACGTTGGTATAGAAGACGTAGTCACAGTACTCGGCATCCGGGTACATGTCTTCTGAGGTGGCTGTCTCGCTTACGGTGCAGATTATCAGTTTCGCTGGGAATAGACAGCAACGAAACACAGCATGACTCTTCGGTGTCTACTAATTATATTCTAAATCAGGAGGAAAGCCATAGGTATGCGTCATCAAACACAAACTGAGCGTCGGCGTTGGAGGAGTCAACACTAGTATTGTGAAGGATACTCATAGCGTATGAAAATTTGTCTTACGACACCATCATAACGCAAGATCACCGACACTTGGGACGTCATTATCACTTCAAATATTGAAGATATTTGTGATGTTTTACCGATGCTAGCGAGATTACACCACCTCACATTTTCACTCGGCAAAAAAAGCGCGCCGTTCACGAAGGTGCATCATTTGCCGAAAGCTGACAGTATGCCTATCTAGGAGACACAAAAGCCACAATAAGCGCTGAAAAACTTTCGATAGGAAAATTCACTTCCACTCCAGCAACAATTTTCCCTCCAGCAGCTTTGTAGCTGTGGCACTAAAACCCTATACACACGCAGTACGGTCGATGGGCTCAGCCACAACAAAGTGGCCCGTAATCTCAACTTTCTGGCTACTGAACCTATCATAGTACAGGCTATGAGTTTGACAACCACACGTTTATCATATCGAAACCCCAATATGCCTGTTTAAATATGGCCTTGTAGTGGAAAGCTCCTGGAATTTCAACCATATGATAATTTGATATGTGGGGTTTAGCGTCCGAAAACCTTCATATGATTTCGAGAGACGCGTATAGAGGGCTCCAGAAAATTCGACCACCTGGGGTTCATTAACGTGCACCCAAATCAGAGCACACGGGCCTACAACATTTCCGCCTCCACCAGAAATGCAGCCGCCGCCACCAGGATTTGATTCCACAACCTGCGGGTCAGCAGCCGAGTACCTTAGCCACTAGACCACCACGGCGGGGCTTCAAACATATTGAGTTGTTAACGTGCATCTAAGCGATAAAGCTAAACACATGAGCCTCAAGCATGTTAGATTTCACTAAATATAAGTTGTTTCAGTCTTCAAAAATGAAATCTTTTTAGCTTCGCGTGTGCGCATTCACTGCCTAATGCATGAGTGCCGAGAAAGCCAGAGAGTCCCCACACGCACCTCTACTATTCTCCGAGCTTTCTACATGCGATGCTAGCGAGATTACACCACCTCACATTTTCACTTGGCAAACAAAGCGCGCCGTTCCCGAAGGTGCATCATTTGCCGAAAGCTGACAGTATTCAGCACGAGAAAGTGGCCAGGAAAACTGATTTGCAATGCAACGAACATGCGGCGTTAAACATTGCCAACGTTGGCAACGATTAACGCTAGAACCTTATCTAGTGAGGGAAGTCTTGTTGTACTATTCGAGGAGCAATTCCAAATTTTTGAAACTTTCGAAAATCTGGCGGGCAACGGCTTTGAAAATTTAAGTGAAGGCAGCCTTTTTTGTCGCGAGCTTGTCGATTCGCCCTCGTCTGTGTGGTTAATGTTTGAAACGCGCCAAAGGCGAGGTGTTGACAGGTTTGATAGCTAAATAATCGTTTTCGAGTAGAACTTCGCGCGAGCCAGACTGCAAATTTATATATAATTTTCTAACCTCTCAAGCTCCAACATATATTCGATAATTATCACGATCATTATAATCATCAATATTAGCCTGTTGCTTTAGGACAAAGTCACCTTCCGATGATCTCCAGGTTATGGTATTCCGTGGAAGTGGATTCTTTTTTCATTCCTTCAAGATTCTTGATTTACCCAAGGCATTATTATGCGTTTGTCTTCTCTTCGTAACCATTCTGTGTCTCTTTCTCTCCTACCGTTGTCTGTACTACGCAATACGTAACAATCCTAGGAACTGTTTCTTTCAATTTATGTCAAGTGACATATCTGCTACACTCCGGGTTGTTTCCTTATTCATTCTGCTGTCCTCTGATCTCTAACAGTTACTGCCTTCTTTTCTTGTTTCATATATTCTACGTGGTCCACAGCCTCTCTGGTCACTTTATGATGCTCTTTGTTTCAGCTTTATATCCTCTTTCGGTATTCAACGATTTGGTACTATTCATTTTATTAAAGTTGTCGATTTCTTGGCATTGCTTGGGAGTGTATCCTGATAGAGCTACAACCAATCGCAGCCTTCATTGAAATTTCTTTTCGCGACTAGCCAATCTTGTTAGTATTTACCTTAGGTATACATATTCTTGTAAACTCCTAAAGTAAAAGTGTCCGTGCAGCCACGTTCGATTGTACTTCCGTTCAAAGCGCGTGTCAGGAAAAAAAACCATTTCATTCAATTTTCAAATAATTCATAATAGGCACACTCCAGCCTACCGGAAAGAGGACGTTAATACATTTGCCCCTGCAAATCAAATGTTTTCCACTCTTCAAACATAGCGAACAGGGGACGCCTCAATTTTACACTGCCATGCCCTATATATATATCGAAATAACAGATCCAGTTTGTGCCCCTCTATTTGGAAGCGATAGATAAGGGGATACGTGAGCGCCCTCCTGAGCCCCATGAATCTACTTTGGTGCTGTTAGCTTCTTAGCCCGCGTGATCTAGGATGTGCCTACCAATCTTCTCCTACCCCAAAATCCTCCTCAATGTCTTCCTTCCTTCTTTTTTCTAATACAATAAATATTTGGCTGTCTAGCACATTTTGACAAATTTTATGTACAAGAACCGCTGAACGTCTGTGAAGGTACTAACGCCATCACAATTACAAGCAAGTAGGCCTCCCACGATCTCACCAAAATTTCACTTCGTCAAGGTGTGAAGCCTTCAATCAAGGCAAAGGAGAAAGGATGTACACTCGAATTACTTACTTTACCGCGTCACGGAAGACGTCTCTCATGTTTTTTTTATAAGTACCACCGAAATCATAGGAGCCAATAGCGAGGACAATCTTCGATGTCTCCTCGCGCTGTATCTCTTTCATTTTCTGGAACACCATAAAATGTAGAATTTATTAATTGTTATACATCCCCAAACCACGATGTGAGACACGCCATAGTGCAATGCTCAGTGAATTTCGACCACCTATGGACCTCTAACGCGCACCTAAATCTAAGCACACGTCTGGTAGCATGTTGAATCCTTCGAACAGCCGTCGGCGTGACATACAGTTTTGCGTTCGAGCAGTGTTCCCCAACGAAAACCACGGCAGATGCAAAATGATGGTAAGTAGGCCAGTATTTTCTTAGTTAACGGTGCCCATTTAAACATATAATTTTGGGTCTTTAGAAAGTATAGGAACATTTATAAAAATTGCGCAGAGACCTGTGCGCTGTTATACAAGGGGCCATCGTAGTGCAATAAATTACATGCCATCATTCCTTTGTACGTTCCTCGGAAATTTTTTATTTGGCTGGTAATACCCCTTTATGCCAGCATTCTTTCACAGGTAAAGCAAATTGTACCAGTCTCATCGCAGCCCTGACGAAAGTTTTTTTTTTCTTTTTGAGAGAGTAGTTTAACATTGTTGGCCCAGTAGTCATACAAAAAATTTTAAAAGCAACAACGACAATTCTAACTTTATCATCACGGGCTGCTCGTAGGGCTTAATATAGGTTTTTTCGATGTTGAAATCCACTTGCATAAGCTAATACGAGACCTCCTCCCCGCGGTGCCAATAAGTGATTTTAGGTGGCTTTAGGGTCTCCTGTGAGTGCATGCCAGTTTAGAGGCCCGCATTGTTCATTTATGAATCTCATCTCGCATGGCCAGGCCACCAGTAAAGCGCTCAAAAATAAATAATATTGAGGCTATCATTGCTCGAAACCAGGAAAAAATGAACGAGAAAAGTAAAATGTATACAATATATCTGACCCAGAAGTAGTTGCAATATCTTACTCAAGGTTCTTAAAAAACATTCCGTAAACATGCGGGAGACTCCGGCACCCCTCATGAGAGGTTACCATGACCAGTCTCAACAGATGATTTTTTCTCTCACCGGGTTTTTACGACAGTGCACTTGAAAAGGCAAACAATCTCACGAAAATCCCTCCACACGACACGTATCTCAGTTGCTGTAATGAGCAGAAAGTTGGTATTAAAGTTCAGCAAAAAAGAAATGTAGCTGACATGTTCTGCACTGCACTTGTGAATCTCGCCAACAAGGTTCTACTCACGCTGGACAAAAGCAATAGGCTTGCGTGAGATCTTTTCGTCGACAGTTTACACGAAAGTGCATTGACTTTGCCAACTTTGCTTCCTGCCCTTGCTACGCTATTCCTTATGTCGCATGGCAGTGGAGCTGCATTTTTTCGTGTGTAGGAAGAATAAGCGGCGACGATGATTTGATATTTAGTGACGCCCAGCGCAAATAGTTGCTCAGTGGACGTTACATTTTTTTACCTTTATTACCCACAAATTATGACACGCACTTCGTCGCCGCCGTCCTGTACAAACAGTCTAACATAACAACATATACCGCATTTTACATTAAGTGACATGGCCCGCGTTCGTAATACCGAAGGAGCGCTGCGTCACTGATGTCGACGGGTAGAAATAGTATACGCGATAGCAGCACCAATTATATGGGAACTCGTGGTTCACTTAGCAGTGGCCATAATGTGCTTTAGGAAATCCTAATTAAATCACCCCGCGCGCCCTAGAATTCACGTGGGAGAGAACGCTTGCAAAGGTTGCAGGGTTCTGTAGCTCAAGCAAACATAAAATGCACCAGCCGGCTCCGAGAGCAAAGAGCGAGTAAGGGGTGCCAGTGGAGAAGGAGCTGCGTTGCTCAGGCGACAATTGCAAATTTCGATCAAAATAGTGCCGTCGGGTGCATTTCTTCCACGAACTTCAGTGAACGTCTCGCACCATCGCCCGTTCTGTGCTCTCGCCGCACGCTTCGCGTAGAGGCGACAGAACACCCGAAATTCAGCTCACTCTACTATGTTTATTACGGATGGCATTTTAATAGACCTTACTCTATTTAACGCACACATTTCTGTCTGCCGCTCGCACTGCTTAACACTTGCGGAGAAGCTGTGACTTATTTTTTCTGATGTCTTGAAAAACGGAACACAATGAGCAGTACAACTACTGTACGTAACAATTCAAAAGTTTTGTGCACTCAAGTGCCGCAAACACGCACCTCAAGTACGTCCTTCGTGCTCCAAACGGTTTCCCGGAAGTTCGTTTGAAACGAAAGCACAGTGAGGAGTCCATAGTGCCGCATGCCTTCCCTACGTAGTGCATCGAGGTCGCTGGAGGCATCGTCCAAACCATTTGGAGTTACATTTCTGCATTAAAAGTTCAAATTTTATTGCGGTGATTATACAAGCCACCTCAACATAGCGGGTTTTTTACATCAAGATAAATGCTTGATTACTTGGTAATCATGAATCGGCTCATCTACAGGATATGTATTATCACTAAAGAGCACTGCAGAAATTATGTAAGAGCAATAGAGTCACCTTAACAAACATCGATTACTGTGTGTGTCCCTCTATAAAGAACGATAACTGCCTTTGACAAAAACACAAAGAGGTAATTTCCTGTTTCCAAGTGTTATCCTCTTCTTTACCAGAAAGGTGTCTCTTGTAACAGCATAAATACATATAAGTGGTACCTACAACGTATCTCACTTACTGAAAATCGAACGAAATTCCCAGCTGCACACGCCTGTACTTTGGGCCCCTCCTCTGGAAGACATTCCAACTGACGGGGTCCTTTTCCGCTTGAATGTGGCCGTTTGATGTGATCACGTTGGTATAGAAGACGTAGTCACAGTACTCGGCATCCGGGTACATGTCTTCTGAGGTGGCTGTCTCGCTTACGGTGCAGATTATCAGTTTCGCTGGGAATAGACAGCAACGAAACACAGCATGACTCTTCGGTGTCTACTAATTATATTCTAAATCAGGAGGAAAGCCATAGGTATGCGTCATCAAACACAAACTGAGCGTCGGCGTTGGAGGAGTCAACACTAGTATTGTGAAGGATACTCATAGCGTATGAAAATTTGTCTTACGACACCATCATAACGCAAGATCACCGACACTTGGGACGTCATTATCACTTCAAATATTGAAGATATTTGTGATGTTTTACCGATGCTAGCGAGATTACACCACCTCACATTTTCACTCGGCAAAAAAAGCGCGCCGTTCACGAAGGTGCATCATTTGCCGAAAGCTGACAGTATGCCTATCTAGGAGACACAAAAGCCACAATAAGCGCTGAAAAACTTTCGATAGGAAAATTCACTTCCACTCCAGCAACAATTTTCCCTCCAGCAGCTTTGTAGCTGTGGCACTAAAACCCTATACACACGCAGTACGGTCGATGGGCTCAGCCACAACAAAGTGGCCCGTAATCTCAACTTTCTGGCTACTGAACCTATCATAGTACAGGCTATGAGTTTGACAACCACACGTTTATCATATCGAAACCCCAATATGCCTGTTTAAATATGGCCTTGTAGTGGAAAGCTCCTGGAATTTCAACCATATGATAATTTGATATGTGGGGTTTAGCGTCCGAAAACCTTCATATGATTTCGAGAGACGCGTATAGAGGGCTCCAGAAAATTCGACCACCTGGGGTTCATTAACGTGCACCCAAATCAGAGCACACGGGCCTACAACATTTCCGCCTCCACCAGAAATGCAGCCGCCGCCACCAGGATTTGATTCCACAACCTGCGGGTCAGCAGCCGAGTACCTTAGCCACTAGACCACCACGGCGGGGCTTCAAACATATTGAGTTGTTAACGTGCATCTAAGCGATAAAGCTAAACACATGAGCCTCAAGCATGTTAGATTTCACTAAATATAAGTTGTTTCAGTCTTCAAAAATGAAATCTTTTTAGCTTCGCGTGTGCGCATTCACTGCCTAATGCATGAGTGCCGAGAAAGCCAGAGAGTCCCCACACGCACCTCTACTATTCTCCGAGCTTTCTACATGCGATGCTAGCGAGATTACACCACCTCACATTTTCACTTGGCAAACAAAGCGCGCCGTTCCCGAAGGTGCATCATTTGCCGAAAGCTGACAGTATTCAGCACGAGAAAGTGGCCAGGAAAACTGATTTGCAATGCAACGAACATGCGGCGTTAAACATTGCCAACGTTGGCAACGATTAACGCTAGAACCTTATCTAGTGAGGGAAGTCTTGTTGTACTATTCGAGGAGCTAGAGGGTGTTAAATGGGATATAATAGGGCTCAGTGAGGTTAGGAGGACAGATGAGTCCTATACGGTGCTACAGAATGGGCACGTCTTTTGCTATCGGGGCTTGGCAGACAGAAGAGAACTGGAAGTGGGGTTCCTAATTCACAGAAACATAGCTGGCAACATAGAGGAATACTATAGCATTAATGAAAGGGTGGTAGGTATCGTAATTAAACTGAATAAAAGATACAAGATGAAGGTAGTACAGGCTTACGCACCTACATCCAGCCATGATGACGCTTCAGTTGAAAGCTTCTATGAAGACCTCGAATCGGCAATAAGTAAGGTAAAAATACAGTATACTAAAGTGATGGGCGACTTTAATGCAAAGGTAGGGAAGAAGCAGGCTGGAGACCAGGCAGTAGGAGATTATGGCATCGGTACTAGAAACGCCAGAGGAGAGCTACTAGTAGAATTCGCAGAACGCAATAATTTACGGATTTTGAATACCTTCTACCGAAAACGAAAAAACCGCAAGTGGGCATGGAGGAGCCCTAATGGCGAAAATAAGAACGAAATAGACTTTATAATGAGTGCACACCCAGGAATCGTGCAGGATGTGGAAGTGGTTGGCAAGGTACGATGCAGTGACCATAGAATGGTACGGTCTCGAATTCGCCTAGACTTGAAAGAGGAACGACAGGAACTGATACGCAAGAAGCCAATCAATGAGCTAGCACTGAGAGGGAAAGTACAGGAATTCAGAGTGTCGCTGCAGAACAAGTACTCGGCTCTTAGTGAGGAAACCACACTTAGCGTAGATACAATGAATGATAATCTGACGAGTATCATTACGGAGTGTGCAGTGGAAGTTGGAGGCAGGGTAGTTGGTCAGGACACTGACAAGCTTTCCCAGGAAACGAAGAACCTAATTAAGAAGCGTCAAATCATGAAAGTGTCAAGTACAACAGACAAATTATAACTGGCAGAGCTTTCGAAGTTGATTAATAGGCGTAAGGTATCCGACGTAAGAAGGTATAACATGGAGAGAATTGAACACGCTCTGAAAAACGGAGGAAGCGTCAAAGCAGTGAAGAGGAAACTTGGAATAGGCAAAAGTCGAATGTATGCACTAAGGGACACAGAAGGCAAAATAACTACCAATATGGATAAGATAGTTAAAATAGCGGAGGAGTTTTACAGAGACCTGTACAGTAGCCGTGACAACCACGACCTTAATACTATAAGAACTAGCAGTAACCCAGATGACACCCCATCCTTAATGATAGAAGAAGTCGAAAAAGCTTTGGAGAGCATGCAAAGAGGCAAAGCTGCTGGTAAGGATCAGGTAACATCAGATCTGCTGAAAGATGGAGGACAGATTGTGTTAGAAAAACTAGCCACCCTGTTTACGAGGTGTGTCCTGACGGAAAGAGTACCAGAGTCTTGGAAGAACGCTAACATCATTTTAATACACAAGAAAAGAGATGACAAGGACTTGAAAAATTACAGGCCGATCAGCTTGCTCTCTGTAGTATACAAGCTATTTACCAAGGTAATTGCTAACAGAGTAAAGAAAACATTAGAATTTAATCAACCAAAGGAACAAGCAGGATTTCGAACAGACTACTCAACAATCGACCACATTCATACTATCAATCAGGTAATAGAGAAATGCTCAGAATATAGCCAACCACTATACATAGCCTTCATAGATTACGAGAAGGCGTTTGATTCAGTGGAAATATCAGCCGTCATGCAGACACTGCGGAATGAGGGCGCAGATGAAGTATATGTAAACATTCTGGAAGAAATCTACAGGGGATCAACTGCTACCATAGTGCTTCATAAAGAAAGCAACAGAATACCAATCAAGAAGGGTGTAAGGCAGGGGGACACAATCTCCCCAATGCTAATTACCGCGTGCTTACAGGAGGTTTTCAGAAGCCTAGAATGGGGACAGTTAGGGATAAGAGTTAATGGAGAATACCTTAGTAACCTGCGCTTCGCCGAAGACAATGCATTGCTGAGTAACTCAGGGGACGAATTGGAACTCATGATTACAGAGTTAGACAAAGAGAGAAGAAAGGTGGGTCTAAAAATAATCTGCAGAAAACGAAAGTAATGTACAACAACCTCGGAAAGGAGCAGCGCTTCGAGATAGGTAATAGTGCACCTGAAGTTGTAAAAGACTATGTCTACTTAGGGCAGGTAATAACCGCAGAGCCGAACCACGAGATTGAAGTAACTAGAAGAATAATAATGGGGTGGAGCAGATTCGGCAAGCACTCTCAAATAATGACAGGTAGATTGCCACTATACCCCAAGCGGAAGGTATATAACAGCTGTATCTGCCGGTACTTAGCTACGGAGCAGAAACCTGGAGACTTACAAAGAGGGTTCAGCTTAAATTGAGGACGACGCAGGGAGCAATCGAAAGGAAAATGGTAGGTGTAACCTTAAGAGACAAGAAGAGAGCAGAGTGGATTAGGGAACAAACGGGGGTTAAGGATATCATAGCTGAAATAAAGAAGAAAAATGGACATGGGCCGGGCATGTAGCGCGTAGACAGGATAACCGCTGGTCATTAAGGGTAACTAACTGCATTCCCAGGGAAGGGTAGCGGGTTAGGGGGAGACTGATGGTTAGGTGGGCAGATGAGATTAAGAAGTTTGCGGGTATAAATTGGCAGCAGCAAGCACAGGACCGGGTTAACTGGCGGAACATGGTAGAGGCCTTTGTCCTGCCGTGGACGTAGTCAGGCTGATGATGAGGATGATGAACATGCGGCCAAACTCGCTTTGCCGGTTTGGCTCGCGATGCCCTCACGCGGATAGCACCGTGGTCACTGTAAAAAAAACAGCTTGAATGTACTCGCGACGGCTGCTTAGGCTGTAAAAAGAGAGAGCGAGGGCGTGACTCCATACCGGCCGTGATCGCACTCCTGCTTCGGGAAAAGCGTCGAATGGGACGGACGATTAGAAACGACGTGTTGAAGGAACCAATCGCATAGGTCATGGTCATGATGAATCACTGCACTTTACCAAGAAGGCTGAAACACTTCAGTGGTAGATATAAAGGACGTATCGTTCAATGCGTACAAAGTAAGTGACCATGGCGCAGTGGTTAGCGTACCCGGCTTCACGGGTTCGAATCTCTTGAAGCAAACTTCTTCTGTATTCGTTCTGATTGTGCGTATTTGTGACATCATTTCAGTGACTGAAATATGTCACTGAAGTATTGATGGATGCCAGCCTAAAACACTTTGGTGTTAAAAAAATCAACGCGAAAATAGTCACAGTTTCACCATAAGAGCGAAGCAATGAATGTGACAGCAAGAAATTTGAATGTTACATGAACAACTGCAAGCAGCTGCACACCTTTGACGAGCAGCTGAAGCACATATACGGAAGCTCAACAAGAACGCTCCAGCGCAAACAGAACAAGTGTAATCTAACAACTTTCACTATGCTTGTGTCTTTCAATTAGTGCCAAGAAATAAAACTAGACGCTCTGACATATTGTTAGGTGTGAAGCACCAAGCCGTGGGTGGTCCATCCGCGATGTACGTATGTATAGTAGTAACAGTCGTCGTCGTCGGCATCCTTGTAGTAGGTAGCCACCCACCTCTAGATTAGTCCTTAGAATGTCCGCTGAATGGCGGTACCTATATGATGAACACATGAAAAAATGCGAGATGGCGGTACTTGGAGTGTTCGCTAGATAAATGGACGCATGGTCGAACGCGCGGACGAACGGACACACATAAATATGCACGGATGAATGAATGGACGCACAAACGCATGGACGAATGAACAGACGCACCGACAGACGGACGGATGGTCGGACGGACGCACGCAAGGACGTATACTGGGATCGACGCACAGACGAATGCAGAGATGGACGTATGGACAGACGCACGGATTCATGGACGGACGCACGAACGTACAGAAGGATGCACAGACGGACGCATGGACGGTCTCACGGACTTACGCACGCAAAAACGGAAGCAATAACGAACGAACGGACAGAAGCGCGGATGGACTGACGGACGCTTCGCCCCACTCATCATCAGTCACTCCGCGGATATGCTGTGATTTTTTTGTTTGTTCAACAACACGAGCGTTCACAGAAAGGGGCCAGTTATGGGTGTCCGTCTCAAGGACAGCTTTAGAAGCGTAAGAAACTCTAGGAAGGATGCGTGCTAGCAAATGCGCTCAAGCTTGTCTGAGATCTGGAAGCCATCAGAGGTAAATATCTCACCCCTATTGCATCTAAACATGAATAACGCGTGGCTCAGTACTCTAAAGCAGCACGCTGCGGAGCGTCACTGCTTAAAATCCCGGTTAGATTGTTTGAATCGCCGGTGGAGTGCATCGAAATTGTTTTATTTGTGTTTTATCTACACGTCTATATTCATATTCATGACATGAAGGTGACGGGAAAGTTTGCCGAGATTGTTCATTCAACTGCTATCGCAATAAAGACGTCGTGGTTCCCCTCATGGAGCCTTGCTTGGCGGGAGCTTTGTTGACTCAATTTCCAACAAAGTTATCATGAGGGTATCAATTTTAACCTTTTTTAAGGTGGCTGCACTTCTCTTAAAATCATGATGTTACTTACCAAGCAGAGGTGCTTCCATCAGAAACGCCAGCGTCATCAAGTGCGGAAATTCAACAGTACTGCCAGACTTTCAGTGGTTGTGTTGATTGATTGATTGATATGTTGGGTTTAGCCTCCCAAAACCACCATATGAATATGAGATACGCCGTAGTGAAGGGCTCCGGAAATTTCGACCACCTGGGGCTCTTTAACGTGCACTCAAATCGGAGCATACGGGCCTACATTTCCGTTTCACATAGAAACAGCGCCATAACGAATCATGTCGTACCAACTCGCCCAAGCAACCAGGTTGCCTACGTTTTCGCCTCCGTCGGAAATGCAGCCGCCGCAGCCGGGATTCGATCCCGCGCAGTGGTTGTGCTGCTCCATTGGACTGCCAGCAAAGTACAAATAGATGTTGTATTCGATTGGTGTGGTGATCGCTGAGTCTAATGTTGCATTGAACAATGTCTTTCCTTAAATGAAGTTGCCGATAATATATCGCCTGTGGAGCAACGAGTCGCACATGAGTCGCACAGTCCCCACTATAGGAGCTGCGGCTGGGTAGAATCCGCATAGTTTGTGTACGGCCAGTCATCGAGGGTTTACCAGCAGCGAAAGTGCTACTAGCCCCGACGTCCCTCACATCTTCATTTTGCCACTCTAAGAATGATAGCTTCATTTTTATGCTTCGTTTAATTGTTACTCGTATAAGTACGACGCAAATATAAAGGAGTAATAAAAGCACTGACTCTTAGCGCAGATTGCTACGAAGTTCTGCGACGAGTGTGGTGAGGATGAAGTTGAGAGTCGGTGTAAGAGGAAAAACAGTGGCAAGTTGCCAGAGTATGGACCCGACGAAGACGTGGTGACCCAGTGTTCCGGGCTCTGGAGGCCAAGGCTAAGCAACAGCGAATAGCTTAAGACATTGCGTTTTGAGTGAGGGTGGTGGCGTAACTGGAGCGCCACAACAAGGCTCGAAGGGAACAAATATGCTCGAATACCCACCAACAAAAGGTACGCGACACTCGCTTAGGACTTTTGAAAAACTTCCATCTGCAATTTACAAAGGCTACATCCTCAGCTGAGGAATGTAACTCTGGGCAAACGGAGGGAAGCAACTCAGCCAAGTAAAGATTTCGTGTTAAGTTCGTAAGCTCTACTGAAGTGCGCTCTCCAACACACTTCCGCAATCACAGAAGTGATGTAAATACAGGCTACTCTTGCCAGTTTCAGCATTGCATTCGCTAATCTTGGCTATTCCCTATGATAACGATGTAATGATTCTTTATTAGCGTCTTGAATTGGGCTGGTTGGTACATACTGACTATGAAAGTAGAAACCACGCAGGAGCAGAATGGAGACTAGAAGACTCGACAGCGTCAAGTTTGTGTCTTCTCGTCTCCATCCTGTTCCAGCACTGCTTCTTCATTTCAAGTTGATAAATTTTAGCACGCGTCCTGCCATGAATACCACTCACTCTTTTAAATGTACCAATCTATAAGACATTTCACTTTAAACATATATATATAAATATATAGCTGACATGGAGGTTATGTGCAGGAGTGTATGAAAAACAGGTGCTTACCTGGGCTCAGTGTAGTCGTTGTCGTCGTGGTAGTAGTAGTTGTAGTAGCGATCGTGGTAGTACTGGTCACGGTTGATGTGGCTGTAGTCGTGGTGGTTGTTCCTTTGGTGATTCTTGTGGTGGTTGTCATTGCACTCGTCGTGGTTATTTTTCTTGTGGAAGTAGTAGTCGTGGCTGCAGTCGTAGTGGTAGGCACAATCGTGTTTACTGCCGTCGTGATCGGTATAGTCGAGGTTGTTGTAGCCGGTACAGCCAGGGTCGTTGCAGTGGTAGTCGTGGTTTTTGTAGTTAAAGTCGTTAAGGTAGCCGCAGCTGTGGTCACTGCTGTCGTGCTCGGCATTATCCAGCTTGCTGTAGTCATAGTCACGATATTTGCTGTTGTAGCCATTGCCGTAGTTGCTGCTGAAAGTTTTATGTTAAGCAGTATTCATTGATCTTACAGCTCAACAAAAAAAACATGAAGGGGCCACTACATAAAACGTGCAGCTCTTATGTCATATTATTCAGTACTTTACACCTACCTACACTTCATAGCTGCACGTTCATACGCATCGAATCAGGTACAGCTGCAGTGTTGATAATAAAATGTCTGGATTTTTTTGTACTTTTCTTGAAGTTACGGAGGAACTTTGTGTTGTTTGTTCCAGAGTACCATAAGCTTTTTAGGTCGTAGTAGTCGTGAAAATTCAATATCTGAGACGTTGCGTGTTCTTGTCATAACCATCTGGGTTGGAAGGACCTTCCTTCGTGTGCCAGGACCTTCCTTCTCACCTACGAATATGCATGTGCGCAGTACCAGAAAGAACCTCGCGCTCAGAGGCGAGGAAAAGTGGCAACTCACATGGTGCGTGGAATGTGGTTTTCAACTTGCGGAGCGGGTGTTCAAGATGGTAGCGCGGGTGAGGGCTCAACAGGCCTCCTCCGAGTCCACAAAATTATTGTTATATTAAACTCACCCTTCACAAATTTTTAAAGTCCTTCGTTATATATTTTATATATCGACATCTGGTACAACACAACAGCAAAAAGCAGGTTCGGCGATGGATAGCCGTCTTTCGCTCCGGATTTTCTGCAAATACAGCGCTTATAACACTTACCGAATACCTCAAAAAGGCAATTGATAGAGGTGAATTTGCAGCATCACTATTTGAACACCTATGTAAGGCCTTTCATTCTATTATTTAACGCATTTTTCTTCTTAAATTAGAAGCTATAGGAATAACCAGTCTACCCTTGCTTTTAATGAAAAGTTATCTACATGACAGAAAACAAATAGATGAAATTCTGGATCTTATTCTAAAGAAGCAACTACGAATACAGGTGTACTGCAGCGGCCCATCTTAGGTCCCCTACTTTCTTAAATGTTTATCAATACTTGCCGACTAGCCTTTCCTCATCTAAGTGTATTCTATACGAGAAAGACAGGACAATATTTCGCTTATTTATTTATTTATTTCCAACACAAAACAGTTGGGGGTTCCCCAGGCAAAAAAGCTGTTAAATTCTAACGGCTGCCTATCCAATTTAAGTAGTATGCTAAATGAAGATCTGAAAATTTTCTCGTGGTGCACACAGGACAAGCTGCAAATCAACCATAATAAGTCCAATTTGGTCATCTTCACCCCACGCCAACGTCCGTCCGATCTTTGTCAATCCATTTCCATCAACAGTCACAATATTTCTCCAGTTGATTACTGTACAATTTAGGTGTGTAACTCGGCTGCCCCCTTAAATTTAATCTACGCCTGTCTACTGTAAAAAAAAAACTGGCTCATGGTATACGCATTCTTGTCAAAGCGCAATTGCATTTCTCCTTTATTACTCTCTTATCCCTTTATTATGTTTTCACGCATTCTCACCTCAATTACAACATTGAACCATGGGGTGACACATGCAGCAGTCACCTGTCATCATTGCATACCATTCAAAACCAGGCCATTCGTCTAATGAATTTTTCATCGCATTCTGTTAACGCGAATGAGTAATTGCACTCCTACAATATTCTAAGTGTGTCCGATCTTAATATATATAATCTCAACATATTTCTATTTAGGCTCCTACAGAATGGTATCCCGGTGTCCTTAATACCAAGAGCATCCCTCATTAATACTGACAATTGTACATTCGCTGGAAACAATAATTTTTTTGCCCATCGGTTCGCACAAACTACGGCAAGCAGTATTTGCATTTATCAGCACTTGCTTTTAGGAATTCGCTACCGTTTATTCTAAAATTAGTATATGCTCACAGGTTCCGATCTGAACTTGGGCATTTTCTGTTTGATTTGTCTGATTCCGGTTCTTCACTGCTTCAGGTGTTCTCATTCGGTAGTTTCTCTCTGTCTTCTCATCTCTCCTCATTCTTTTGACCTCTTTCTGTGATTTCGTATATTTGTTTTTATATACTGTTTATTGATTTGAACTTTACTATGTTTTATACTGCATTACTGTTTATTCCTTTTGAATTGTGTCCCACACTGTTCTTACTCTCTTCGAGTATGGCACATTACTTGTTCACTGTTTTTGTTAAAGCTGTTTATAAGATAATTCCTTACTCAATTTGAATCAGTCATTAATACTATAATATTATTCCTATTATTATTAAGACCCATATTTGCCAATTTACTTGTGTGATTCACTATGTTATCATGCACAGGAGGTCCAAATTCAGTTTGTAACTATGATACGCTCTTCTGTATATACTAATCATGTATTCTCTCCTTTGGTTGACACGAAAAATAAAATGATTCAGAAAATGATCCTGAGTTTGATCTGATCCCGTCATTCGTGACTAAGCACAAGCTTTTCGCTCAAGAAAACATGTGCGGTATTCTTATTATGAGCAATTTCTCAGATTTTGTCTTCGCTGCACATTATTTTATTTCATACTTGGCGCAATAAAGAAAACAAAATTGGCAGCAGGTCACTATGAAGCAGTAGACGAGTAGTGGGACTTAAGAAAAGTGCCAGTCTTGCACAGTAGATTGCCACGCTCAGGTAAACGTTGGCATTGCTGGGCACACGTATATTCATATAGGCTGTATCATTTTGTCCTCGAAGCCACTTTAAAACATCGCACGTGAAATAGCAGAATCTACACGTACCTTTGTGTGCTGAGGTAGACATCCTCCATGACGTGACCCTTGGGCTGCCTTCAGTGTGCCGATTCGTTGAAACCGTTTCTAGGACTAATATATTCTCGGGTAGAGAGGAGGAGGCTCCACTAGCGTAAACGAGGTCTTCCGTGGGGGTGTCAGTAGATTCGTCCAAAGCTACAGGGCAATGCGCAGTTTGTGACATAAGGGGCAGCGCGTCTCATGCAGAACACACACACACAAAAATGAAACACACACTCAGCGCCAAGAGTGCGTCTCTGTCGTGTTTTATTTGCGTCTGCCATGTTAGGATACACTTTTGTCCACAAGATACTATACCGACAAGCCCAGATGTAACACTGCACAACAGCACGGATCACTAATGTGCTGATTTGGTATATTGAGCTCTCTTCGTTGCTTCCAACTACGTGGCACATTGGCAACATGAGCGAAATTTTGATGCGACGTCGTATGCAGTGTTATCATCTATTCCCGCAATTTTTTTTCATTGCTTCTACTTTTCCATCTTTATCTAAAGTAATGACATTCTTTTGTTTTACGGCCAAGTAATTCGACATTTTGCGAATGACACCGAAAACCTACCGCTCTCCAGTCACCATTATTGCAAGGAACGAATGAAAACCAACAGAAACACTGCTGAAACTTCTGCTTTGGTATTCGTCAGTGACTAACATTGCTAAATACGCACGCAGTACGAAGCCGAGTACAAGTGAGCAGACCCTTGTTCATCCTCAAGGATTTACGCTGACCTCCTCACTTCGCACTATGCTGTGGTGGAGCTGCATAAAAAATAATTGCCGTGTTTGCTTTTCTGCTAGTGTAACTTGAAGTCGTAAGTAATACTGGCAATAATGTTTTTTTCACAGAGAATTTTCTGATAAATCTAAATACATAATTACACAATTAAGTGTAGGACAGATGAAGAGTTCATTTTTCTGACAGCAAAGAAATAAAAAGTGCTTGGTAAGAGGGAAAAACTACTCCGCCTTATAGACACACATATGAAACACCAGCTGTATCAGCACAGTATGAAAAATAAGCTGCAGCTCAGTAATGCTAGCTTACAAATGCCAAGAAAAATTCAACGTAACATGATCTTTTTTTATGTCTGTCTATTCGACACGTGTATTTCGGTCAAGTAGAGTGTGAAGGGTGCCCTTACCTGCATTGGCTGTAGTTAAGCCGAGTAAAACTAAAAGGCAGAACAAGACCCCAAGGCATACGCACATGGCAACTGCCAACAAGTTTTCTCCTGCTTGAGGGACTCTGCAAATAAGTTCATTTTTTTCAGTTATTTAGAAATATTACTAAACCACGTATTCAAGAACTTCCCTTCATTTGGCATTCCACCTCGACTCGAGAGTGTCCAAGGCTAGAATGCTCGCTACATTTGGGCGATAATCGGCATCAATTCACCAGAACCACTCAGTAACTTTCAGTCGAGTGGTAGCGCTGTGCTCAGTTCGGTCAAGTGCAGGGTGAAAGTGGAGTCAACGCTTGTTTCAGAATACGTGGGTAAATACTGTTACAAAGTTGGTGGCGTTTATACACGATGTGCTTACTGTGATAAAGGAAACGAACAGGCGAGAGTCCTTATGACTGGGTAAAAAACGCACGCCCCTGTAAGCTTCTTTTTTTCTTGGTCTTCCTTCACATTATATACGTAACTATATGGTCACTACTTTAAAATGAATGTGTGTAGGTTTCTCAGCAGATAAGAAGACAAAAATGCACTCAACAATCAATAGTTTATTACACATTAAAAGTTCATTGCCATTTGGTAATGCGATAGCTTGATTAGTTTATTATACACTACGTAAACCTGATATGATAATTACTCGCACATCTAAAAATGACGTGGTGTGGCCGCTACGCACAATTGCCATTTGTAGTCTCATGAAGAGTAAAGACTCGCTATGATCAAAGAACCGTTAACGAAGGTTGCAGGTTCGACCTCTGCCGGCGGCAAGTTGCCTTTTGGTCCACTTTAGTTTATTCAGATCTCAATCGTATTTACAACAGTGCACTTATATTAGTGCAATTAGCGTCCCCTATAAGTGCCTTGCCTTCCTCTTCTGGTTCTTTTATTTAAATTATATTGTAATCACCAAGGTCACGTAATATATAAATTATAGTGCCTTTATCCGCAAATTATATGAGTAGGCTGATTGGTTCTTTTTTCGCCTAATGAACGTGACTTGCACGTCGGTGGATGTGGATGATTAGCTAAGAAATACCGATCAAAATGCAAGCTATATCATATCGGCGTCGTTGTCAATATGATATAGCTTGCAAAAGGAAATTCAGCCAGCACATCTTATGAGCCGCGTCAGTGCGCACATGAATTCGTAGCCTTACTGTATGCCAGTTCTAACAAAGAAAGTAGTACCTGATGGAAATTTTCAAGGTCATTCCAGTGAAAAAGCATGCCGATGTTTCATAAAGATAAGAGCATGTATGTACAGAAATGCCTTACGCTGACATTTGTTAGAGAATATTTCAGCTAATCAGATTGTGGGAGACATCATGAGCATTCGATGCCCGCTGTCCAATGGGCAAAAATACATATGATACAGAAGTGCGTTTCGATCGAGGATGCGAGGAGAAGAAAACCTTATTACATAATCGCGTTTTACTCTTGAAGGCTATGCTCAAGCGTCTTCCAATAATTGTGTTTCGCCGCGGCGCTTCATCATATGGCAGTGTGATGTGTGGTGCGCGTTCAAAGTGCGCGCCTTCGAAAAGTGCGCGTCACGGAAAAAAAAAAAAAACAAAAGGAGAAATACCAGAGTGCACGTGCGGTGCTGCTTAAACAAGAATGACGACGTTAAAGAGCGTCAAGCACGAGGATGCGTGGCAGGACGTGAAGTAAACAAAAGGTAAAACATCCAATGGGCAGCGAACACGGAGATTTCAAGGCCCAATGGCTTGACACCACGAAACAGTAGTATCTCCAATGAGAACGAGACAAGTGGGCCAGAGCTGAAGCAGGAGCCTGGGGAGACCAGAGCAAGGGGAATTCGAGGCAGGCAGTGCAAGCGGAAGGTCGTCACCGGACCGGGCGCTGAAGATGGGCCGTTGGGTTCCGGACCCGAGCCTACAGGACTTCCACCGGCCGGGGCCTCCTGCTGTCGGGTTCCCGCTCCAAAGGACCGTGGCCATCCGGTCCTGAACTCCTTTCCAGAGCCTGCGGACTTCGGTTCCGGCAGGCGAGCTACAGCCGTCGGGCTCCGGGCCCGAGCTGTGCGCCCAGCTGCTTGACTAGGTCGACCCTAGTTCCCGGACGCGTCGCCACCAGCCTGCGTTCTCCCGTCTCCGACGTGTCCACGCTCCTCAAGCCGAAACCATCACGATTTGGTAGGGCTTTTCGACGTGTCGCCAGCAGCCAGCGTTCCCTCGTCCTCGTCCAGCCCACGCAGTGACGCAGGAGTCACGGCGTTCCGGTTTCTCATCACCGCCGAAAACCAACTTGTGGGTGAGACTGCACCGATACTCTTGCGCTACTCCCATCACTCAGCCCCTTTCGAACGTTAGGTTTAGTTACTGACTTTGAACGTTTTGTTGGGTGTTTACAGATGTGTTTCGTCATGTCCAGTCAACTGTTTATTAAGTGTTTTGTTTTGTGAGGAATCTTTGCCTTTTTTCTTTTCAATTAAACTTTTTGTGTGTTTCTTGGAAACCGAACGGCTTTGTCCTTATTAACAAAACTCTCTGAGGCTCAGCCCGGGAGAAACAAATCAGCAACAAGAACCCGCATCACAAATTGGCGTCCGCGACAGGACAAAGTCGTTTGTTTTTCCAGTAGATTTTTTGACGCGGTTAACACGATGACGAACACGTGGGAGTTAATTGAGTTGGCGGATAAAATGGGACTGACGGGAGCGGAGTTTAGAGTATGGTACGAGGAGCGGATGGAGAGGGAGCGTGAGCAACGGGCTGCAGAACGAAAGGCGGCGAAGGAAAAGCTTGAATTGGTGCTTAGAGCTAAGAAGGAGGAGCTAGAGCGCGTAACGCGTGAAAATAAAGTGTTGCTAGAGCGTCAGACACGCATACTGAAGCAGCAGCTCCAATTAGAGAGGGTGGACTTCGAGCGGCGACTCGAGCTTGCGATGGCGAAAAGGGGGCAGCTGGCGATGCAGAAGGTCGAGCAAGCGGTGAATGTTTGCTCCGATAGCAGCGTTTGCTGGAGGGAAGTCGATTCCTGCAAGGTTGGCCTCGAATCTCGCGACAGCCTTACTTCGGAGCGAGAAGCTCAGATAGAGGAAGGCAGAGAGGTGGACAGCCAAGAAGGCAGGAGTCATGAGGAGTTTGTTGAAGCGACGGAAAGCTTCTCTGGCGGGGAACATATTACTTCCGTTAGCTGCTTGGGGACCTCTGAGAGGCCAAGCACCTATGAAGAAGAGCGCCTGGATATGGGCGACCTAGAAGCTGTGGAAAATGTTGTGGAGCAAAGCTTCGATAGCAGGGAACGAAGAAGCTCCATTCAGAATGAGGTGTGTATCAGAACGTCTCAGAGGCCGAGCACATTTCGGGAAGGGGTAGGGCTACCTCTCAATAGCTCCATGGAAGGAGCGCTAGAACGTCATTGGGAAGATGGCAGCGAATGCCATGAAGGCTCTGATATAGTGGCCACTGATTGTTTTGTACCGACAGAGGTAGCAGCAGGCACCACGTCAATGGTCCTAGACCATACATATATCTCACTCAGAGAGAGAGGGGATTCTAGTTCACAGGATAGCGTAACTGCTATTTGTCCGAGAAAACACGATGGGAGTGCTGAAGCACTCTTCAAAATAAACAGTATCGAATCGGAGGTGGGCTCGATAGTAGGTATGGAGAATGCCAGACAGGGTCTTGAACCTGAGAACGTGATTGGTTTTGAACCTATAATTAAGTCCACTCAAGATGAGCTGTATAATGACCGAGCACAACGGCATCCCTTCTCAAGAATCCAGGAACCTCACACGCTTGTCGGAGCGTTTGGGCTTGCTGAGGGCACCCCGAGCTTGTGTTCATT